CGTGTCTGGGATGCTCCAACACCACCCGTGGTCCATCACACCGCTGTCCACATCCCCTGCTCCCCCCCCAGCACAGGAAGGGTTAAACTCGTGTCCAGCAGAGCAAACCTGAGTAAAATTCCCCCAATATTTATCCACTGGGAACGGGGCAGGGCTGGGGAACAGGCCGAGCGAAGGGGACCCTTGGCTTCAGCTTCAAACACAGCAGAGAGAAAGCAAAAAGCAGAGGGACAAAGGGACACATCCCCAAAGCAGGGGGACTCGGGGCCACATTCCCAAAGAGGGGGACAAGGGGACACGGGGGACACACCCCCAAGGGAGGGGGACACGGGGGTCACACCCCCAAAACAGGGGGACACGGGGGTCCCATCCCCAAAGCAGGGGGACATGGGGGCCACATTCCTGAAGCAGGGGAACATGGGGACACGGGGGCCACATCCCCAAAGGAGGGGGACAAGGGGACACGAGGTCACACCCCCAAAGGAGGGGGACAAGGGGACACGGGGGCCACATCCCCAAATGCAAGGGAAGAGGAAGATGATGGAGGAAGGCAGCAGAGACAGAGAAGGAGGCAGACAGGGACAGAGACAGCGAGAAGTGAGGAGATACTCACCAAAGAGACATGAAGAGGTGCCAGGAGGAAGAGCTTTCCTCACCAGCATGTTTTGTTTCAGAAAAGCAGCAAACTGAGCTGAAATGAATCAGAGAGAATTACAGAATCACAGCCTGGCTTTGCAGGGGACAGGGGCTCTGCAGGGGACAGGGGCTCTCTGAAGGGGACAGGGGCTCTCTGCAGGGGACAGGGGCTCTCTGCAGGGGACAGGGGCTCTCTGCAGGGGACAGGGGCTCTCTGCAGGGGACAGGGGCTCCAGGGACAACACTGCAACCCCCGGCCAGGGAGCTGGGAGTGGGCAGAGCTCCGGACACGGATCCAGCACAGGGAACAACGGAGATGCAGCACCTCCTCTGCTGATCACAGCTTTGGGAGGACACAGCCCAACCAAGAGCCCTCTCTGCTCTGGTGGCTCGGCAAGGAGAGCAGCTGGACACTGAGCCAGCACTGCCCTGAGCAGCTCCAGGCAGGAATTGCCACAGCATTGCCACCAAAACCGGGCAGCTGCACCACAGAGCCTCCTCCTGCCTCCTCTGCCGCCTGGGAACTGCTCCCCTCAGCTACAGCAACAGGAACACAGTGCTTCAGTGCCTGCTCTGGGGAATTCAGGGAGATCCCAGCTCCAGCTTCACCTGGAGTCTGGCCCTGAGTCAGGATCGATGGCCAGGGTCACTGCTGCAGGTGACACCATCCTGCTGCCGATGACACCATCCAACCTGGCCAGGGTTATTGCTGCAGATGACACCACCCAGCCTGTCCCTGTCTGTCCCTGAGCAAAGCAAGAGGAGGATGCAGAACTCTACCCCAGGTGCTGCTGATGTTTGCCAGAAGGGATCCTCAGCCACAAAACCACTCTCTGCCCTCACAGAGCTCACCACTACACAGAAGGTTTTTGATCAGCCTCAAACAGGACACAAAACCYCACAGCTCGAGCTGGTTTCTCATCYAGAGCTGGTTTCTCATCCAGAGCTGGTTTTCCACAGGCCACTTGCTGCAAGATGGTTCTGTAATTCCCCAAATTCCACAGYTCCCACCTCAATCCCATYTCCTGAGCTCCTTCAGWGTCYCCCCAGGCASCCTGGAAGGAGACATTGGCCCAGGGTCCCCCAAAAGGATCAGAGCATGGCTACAGGGGGTGTGGTCAGTCAAAGAAAGTCCTTCCCGCTCCCAACAGCACGAAGGCTCCACAAGCTGCACMAACACCGTTTCCAACCTCATTCCAACCCTCCACGAGCTGTGACAGGGGGTGAAAGCTGCACAGAGAGCTTGGAATTCAACACAGGACTCGGAAGATAAAACCCTTGTTAGAGGTTAGGATTTTTTTTCTTTGTTTTTCATMTTGGAGAATTTCTTCTCTATTTCGTTGCTGAGACACAATAATAGGTGAGTCACTCTGATCGTAACTACATCAAAAGAGATGTGTGACAGCCCAGAGAAAGCTGGCACTGGCTTTGTAGTTGAGTTAGTTATCATTGTTATAATTCATTATTATTATTATAATATTTATATAGCATTATAATATTATATATTATATAATAATAAACCATATTACTATTATATTACTTATATTATCATTATAGTATTATTAACTACCATTATTATTATATTTATTATAATATCATACATTGTATTTATATAATATTGTTATACTATATATAATATTATCACAATATGAAATTATTAACTATCATTATTAAATTATATTTACATAGTATTGTATTATATATACTACATTATTATAATATTTCAATGACATTGTATTATTATAGTCTTATTAACTATCATTTATTATCATTATACTCATTATATTAAATTATATATTTATATCTATATAGTATTATATTATATAATGTATTACATTATTACAATATTATAGTATTATATTATTATAGCATATTATTATAGTATTATTAACTATCCATTATTATTCTATTTATAATATTATATTATGTATTTATAGGTTATATTATATACTGTATATTACATTATTACAATATTATAATAACATCTTATAGTTATTAACTATCATTTATTATTAAATCTATTATGTTATATATACATTTAAATAGTAATATACTATGTATTATATAGTATATTATATATTATTATAGCATTAACTATCACTTATTATTAAATTTTTTTATATTATATATTATTATTATACTATATATTATATAATCAATTATATTATATTTTATTATTATCATTATTATAGCATTATTAGCTATCATTGTTATTTATTTCCCTTGTTACACAAACCAGTAAAAACCGTTATTCCCTTTTTCCCATATCTTTGCCTTAAAGCCCTGTAATTTCAAAGCCACAATAATTCAAAGAAAAAAAAAATAAAAACCCACATTCACCACTACAAAAGAAGTCGCTGCCTTCATTAACAAACACCTGTTTTTCAAACCACAACCCCGGGCAGGTGCAGGCAGAGAAGGAGCCCAGTGCAGCTGTGGGAGGGTGGGGAGCTGCAGGAGTTACCTTGTGCCTGTTTGTGGCTCAGGACAGTGTCTGTTCTGGGCACCGGCCGCTTCAGCAGCTGCGTGGGGCCCGCGGGGCTGGGCTTGGCCAGGGACAGCGCTGCCACCTTGCTCTTGGGGCTGGACGTGGGGCTGCTGGACACGCTGGACAGGTCCTGCTGGGAGAGAGGGACACGTCAATGCTGTGGTGTTGGGGCTGCTGGACACGCTGGACAGGTCCTGCTGCGAGAGAGAGACACGTTAATGCTGTGGTGTTGGGACTGCTGGATATGCTGGACAGGTCCTACTGGGAGAGAGGGACACGTCAGTGCTGTGGTGTTGGGGCTGCTGGACACGCTGGACAGGTCCTGCTGGGAGAGATGGAAACGTTAATGCTGTGGTGTTGGGGCTGCTGGACACGCTGGACAGGTCCTGCTGGGACAAAGGGACACGTCAGTGCCATGGTGTTGGGGCTGCTGGACAGGTCCTGCTGGGAGAGAGGGACACATCAGTGCTGTGGCTGCTGGACATGCTGAACAGGTCCTGCTGGCACAGAGGGACACTTTAATGCCATGTGTCTCCAAGCAGGAGGCACTCTGTGCAGAGCAGGCCTGTGGCTCAAGGTGCGTTTTCCCCACCATGAGAACCCTGGGATTTTAAAGGCTGGAAAAACCTTTGAGATCATCAAGTCCCATTATCGACACCACGGTCACCCCAACCCATGTCCCCAGGTGCCACATCCACGTGTTTTTCAAACACTCCAGGCTGGTGACTCCACCCCTGCCTTGTGCAGCCTGGTCCAATGCTTTACAACCCTTCCCTAAAATTACAAAATAATTTTCCCTAAAATCTCATCTAAAGYTTCCCTGGCACAACCTGAGACCAATTCCCCGCAGTCTCTTCTCACATCTCTCTCCCTGATGCCCAATGATTTTTGCCTTTCCTTTTTATTCCTATAGATTTCCTTTACATTTTCATACATGTATATATATATATATATATACATACATATATATAAAAATATATGTATGCATATATGTATACATATACATTTTTTTCCTATATATATTCCTAAATATATGTATTTCCTATTTTTCCTTTTATTCCTACATATTCCCCTTTTATTCCTACATATTCCCCTTTTATTCCTACATATTCCCCTTTTATTCCTACATATTCCCCTTTTATTCCCACATATTCCCCTTTTATTCCCACA